TTGGGTCAGAGGTGCACAAGCCATCACACCACGTCAAGGTGTAGTCTCGTCGTGATGGATCCACCCAATGTGATAACCTGGGAATTGTAAACACATACAATAGAAGTTGAATACCTATCTTAGAAATACGTACTGAAACGCCTCATATGGCAACGATCCTAATCTTGAGCTAGAGCCCAGTTACATGGCCCACTATAGCGAACCCTAGAATCATTGATCAAATTTCGGTCACAGTAACGTGAAACTCAGCGAATCCTGTTCCTACGGCGAAAAAAGGCGAAATTGTCAATTCACATTTATCTAAGTTGAAGATAGTCTATTCGAGAGAGGCCCTGTGAAATGGAACAGCAAGATATAAATAAATCATGTTGATACCGACAGTGTTCAAACAGATCGACCCCCAATAAGACTTGAGGAAAGCATGAACTACGATAGCACAAAAGGCAGGTCAAATTTCAACAGCATAACACAATCAATCACCGACTAAGACGAGTAAACGAAAATGGTTTCATGATTTCACTTAATCACTGCCCATTGTACGGTGTATAATGCTGATTGGACTACTTGTCATCTTCTATTGCCCAGTCTAATTGCATTTGTAAATTTGGCACAATCAATTCTAAAGAAATCCAGAAATACAACCTGGAAACTGGACGTATATTCTTTCTTGTCACATTTTATTTGCGTACGCCGTCCATGAAGTATGCATTGAACGTGTGTGGGGATAGATAAAAGTGAAGAGGCTTATGTGTCGGGATTTGAATCTCTCGGGAGAACAGGTGAGGCGCCACCCACTGCAAAAACAACACAGCGAACGGGTGCAGAGATAGGGCTCTACAGAAAGAATGGATCTAAAAGAAGAACGACGCAGTGAGGAAGACATCAGAACTGTGGCGATCGGTCTGGTTTGGAAGTTTCAGGCGCATCACTTCAGTCAGCATCACGGAATCAGTATCGAAACGGTTGAACCAAGCCATGACTGAAAACAGCCGAGAAGAAACCAAACAAGAGAAGTCCACAGTGCATCGTCAGCTTCTGGCAGAGGCGGATAGTGGCAAAGAATCACAAACCACGAAAGGCGCGAACAAGTCCGATTTTTGATGCGCCTTGACATAAGTCGGTGAATGAATGGACGAACAGGTAATGAAGTGATCCAGATACAAAGAGAATGAAGCAACAGACGGACGGCTACAGCTCATAGAGACTGACACTGTTTCGTTCGATCATTCGAAGGGCACAGAGCTGAAATAACCATCCAGTGACGAAACGTATTCACCCGAGGTGGCGCGGACACAAGGATGCGGAACGCGTGCCGATCAAAAAGGGAACAAAACAGTGACACGCGTTCAAAAACGCAGGGAGCCGATGAGAGAAAAAAGTTCGAGGTAAGGAACAGGCGGTGTGGACAACGGAGAGAAGAACGGTGGTGGTAGAGAAGGACGGGGTTGAAGCAATGTCTGCAGTCCAATAGTTCCGACTAGTTGCCTGTGAGTTCGGCGTAGGTCGAATCCAGTTCTTCGCTGAGAGCCTTGTATTTCTCCTTCTCGGCGACCAATTCGTCTGAAATAGAAATGATTGGGACAACGATGCTCTATTATCCGAAATTTCGGGGTGGGAGGCCAAAGCTGAGATTATATAAACAAGCATTTCGTCAACCAATCCGGTAATAACCAGATAGAGAAAAACCCGACAACTATGATACACCAACAAGTCTGATCAAATATATGTTATCACCCTATATTCCTACTCCAAGCAAAACCACTAGATTCCCTTCGGGCATAGATGCCAAACCACCTCTGCATGAGAATCCAAATCCTGTACGCGTATCCGTAATTCTTTACTATTTAGCAGTGTGACGAACTCCACGGTACGGTTCAGTAACGGAGAAGGATAGGAATGACGAAAACCATAGGCTGACACTAAGTACAGAACTGATATGGGACGGATCGACACCAAATCTGTACACAAACGGTGGTTCCGGGAATCGAAGTACCGGTGGCTTTGTCAGGAGTGGCCCAATCTAGTGAACCATTCGGATCGCTTCACGTTGATTTCTCGTGGCGATAGTTAGCCTATTCTAAGACGGAAGAAGCATGCAAACACAAGACAAATTGATGCAGGCCTTTCAGACACAAATACACTAGAACTACATACTCTACCAACGGACTGGAGTAACGTCAATCCGCCACTTAGATGAAACGGTCATTAGAAGCATGAAATCGAATGTACATCCAACGGTAAATGATATCAATCGATTCGAACATGAGCTCTATGATTTGTTATACAGAAACCTTAGCCAGTGTCATTCCAGAGCAAAACGATTTCTGTTGACTTAGGAAACCAGGATGCTTGACCGGAGAAATTCATGAAGCCATCAGTTGGGAGCGTTGCACGTTAATTCCACAAACTAAACTCGACAGTTGAGAGAAAAACTGCAATCGAGAATAATCCATGCTGAGTCTACAATCGAAAATGCAGTTCAAACTTTACACTAGCTTCAGTGCCCGAGAAGACATATCCATAACACTTGAGTAAACACTTTCGGTTGCAAACAACTAAAAATATTGATTCCGCTGAAGTTGCCACTATGTTTGATTGGGTTACACATGGGATAAACAAGAGGCAGCAGTTTGGTTCATTTTTATTCATTCGCGGACGAAGTGCATTCAATGTTTTTTCATTCTGTTTCATGCCTTTTCACGGAACTAGAAAATGTAGCACACGCATGCAAAGGTGAAACGAAACAAGCCAATGGTGAGAAGTCCAAAGTGTAGACAGAAAAAGGGGGCGCTAGAAATGTGTTGATGTGTGTGTGTATGTATATATGTATGAAGGTATCAAACAGTATAGCACGTGGATATCTCAAGGCCAAGTGATTGGAAGGCGTATGAGAAAACGAAAAAAGAAACAAATCAAAAAGAGAAGCTAAAAAAGCAATGGATCACCAGTTATGCCATTATCAACATCAGCATACGAAAGAAATGAACCAGCAATTGAAGGATTTAATGCAACGCGATAGAGACAACTCGAAATGTGAAGGAATTAAGCCCTCAAGTTTAAGGTAGTTGTTTGCGAGCACGATAGAGGCGCAATGGGAGAATTTCGTCCGCAGCACGAACTGGAAACGCATGCGTATGAAGTGCAGAAAACAGAACTCGAGCACAAACACATGCAGGAAATGGATACCGATAAGGTTGGATTGGGGCCTGAGGCAATTGCTGGAAGAACGCCAGTNNNGGCGAGCAAAGAAACAAAACGATTTGGAAAGATAATGGATGGAATTCCGTTCTGTCAGGCGCATTGACGTAGGTGCAGGGGTGCACGGGGAAGGAAATGAGGGAAAGGCTGGCAGTCGAGCAGAAACACATGCGGTCAACCACATGATCGGTAGAGTGAAAACAATATGGAGGGCAAGCAAAGGGACTAGGTTCGGATCATTCTCGATTCTGAACGTCGGTTGATTGAACTAGGAGCGCGGATGAAATCAAGCCGATGTGGGACGGCGCAGTGTAGCATCCATCCTCTGTCCATCTCTTCATATAGCTGTGCGCGCCAATGAGGAGTTGTCGGGAGCTGATGCGAAACACCATTAGATATTGTCTACCTCATTCATCATATTCTCCATTTCTTTGCGTAAATTGATATGGTTCAGACGCTCAGCGTCAAGGGCCTCTGCAAGATAGAAAAAGATGAAATCACAGTTAGGGCAAAAAGGTACATAAAAAAAGGTACAAAAAGGTATACATTACTAACATAATTGGACTGTACAAAAAACTGACCACAACTTCGCAAATTCCAAGTCCAGAGTTTTGAGTTTGATGCCAGAAAGCTATTTTTGTGGTGAGACGCCGTGGTGAGATTGGTTGACCTTCGATTTAACTCCATACTTCGCTTTCTTCTTGAGGCCGAAACAGAACATTTTATTTCTGAAGGTGAACAGACTATTTGAATTATCAGGATATTCATCTGATCTGCGAGACTGCATTCAACCTCACACCTGGATAGCTAAATTGCTGTCTTTGTTGCTTTAGCCCAATGTTCAAACCCACCTCACTTAGTAGCAGACAGGTATGTTGTGATAGAGCTCAACAGTCAAGAAAAAGATGAAACAACATCACGAGTAGAAAGAGCACGCAGAATCTTTCTAGAACTATGAAAGACACTTTAGTAGCAACGAGATTAGCCTGCGCACCAAGAAACGAGTTTTTCGAGCTACTGTGTGTCCTGTTCTTATATGCGATTGTGAGACTTGTAATCTTCCGATCATTGGTATCTGCGATAGACCCTTAAGCTACAATGACAAAAAAACGGGTTTACAACAAAACGATCGAGCACAAAGTAGTGAGATCGAAAAATCATCCTCCATTCTGCCACCCAATCTACAGAAGGGTTCGATTGCGTACTATGTGTTGACCACAGAGATTCATTTTCTTTCCCCTCCCTCAAAATAGGTTCAATTCCTCTCCACCATAAATTTTACCACTAATCTTGAATGCATTGCGAGTTTGGCAGCGACCAGTGAAGTTTACCTCACTGTATTTCGCTGTACGATGATGATGGTGACCCACAGGAGGCGCGTGTGATGGGCTCATGATATATACTGATGGTTTTTATGATGACCTTGTGAATTTACTGGATTGTGAATTTAGTTCGGTTCATGTGATAAACTGAGATAAAACCAAAAGGTCATAATGCGGAGCTCAACCGAGTTATTCGATTGGTCAGTGCGAATATGAGAGGAGTCTACGAGGTCTACGAGATCCCCGTTTAGACTAGTTAACACAGTTCACTTTTAGCGCCATTGTTTCAGTTGTAGTAGACAATTGAGAAACCGAAGAACCACTCCGTCTAAAAGCGCTTGCATCATGGGCACAAATTTACCAAACAAATAGCCTATGAGGTGGTAACTGTTTCGTAACCATACACAACTCAGGTTATACAGATAGAACCACCGTGTGCGACAGTAACTCACCTTCCAATTTGCAAAGATCGGTTTGTCGGGCCGCTTCCAGTTGACAAGCTTGTTTAGCACGAGATTCAGCCTTCGAGCATTACGATCGAAGGTCGTGTGGGATAATGGCATAACCAAGCGTTTTGACGAGAGGTCATACGTGTGTACGATTGGGATTCACACAGGATAGAGAAACAGCACGACCCAAACGGGAATAGGATCATGTTAGTGGAAAATACGAACATGCACAAAAAGTATTTAACAAGCACATGGTCATGCCCAAATATGAATGCATCGAGATGCAGAACCAGGACTAGAGAAACTCTGAGTTCCGGAGTGTCCACATTACCTTCGAGACGATCGGCGTCGGCTTGGAGAGTGTTTACTAAACGTTCGGATTCCTGAGCACGATCCTCAGCCTAGAGAGATAGTGAGAATATTGTGCGAAACACATGAGGTGAATGTCTGAACTTGGCTAATGAGGTATACGGGTGGAATGCAACACATGCGCTCATGGTCATTGTAGCCATGGAGAACACGTGGCCTGCATACAAAAGGCCTCAGTGCAAGGTNAGGTACCACACATTCATTCGTGCGAGCATGCAGTCTGCGACGGAACATACCAGCCAGGAGCCAATGCTAGCGTTTCTGTATACCGTCTGTCTTTTTGCGGACTAATCGGATCAGTTATAGGATCGATTACCGCCGTGTGTTCCTGTGTACGTGCGTGCACATCTACAGACTGGAGAAATCTGTCACACTGATAGGAAAGTCCAGTGGTGATATGGTCCGTTGGGAACGAAATACGAATGAACATAAAACGCATCAAACATAATTCACATCAGGAGGGAAACGGCCGTCTGATTCATTTCACCAACTGAACGTTGATCTTTAATTACCACTCATCCATCATTTGTTGACGCGGAACTTATTTATCGATGACCAAATAGATGACAATAGGATATAGTAAATTGGGCAAAATATGAACCTCCCACATAGGAATGAAGTTCAATATACAAGAGCAAACCAGAGTGGACCACTTAACAATTCAGAATGACTAACTACCTCGTTCAGTTTTACCGTGAGGTCGGCCAAGCGGGCTTCGATTTGCTTGCGCTGTTTTGTCGCCTGGACCATAATACCGGTCACCGACCGGAGCAGTCCGGGAAGATATCGTTGGAGGGACATACAGGCAAAGCCAGAACCAAATCAGACGAGGACATGCAACCACGTCCGATTGATTGAGGAACGAGCATGTACGGGAGTGGATGCAAATAATAACAAACCGGGGAGGAAAAAACAAAAATGAGTTATTCAATCTACCGAAGTGACACAACTGACCGAAAAGGCAATGGGTCCGTGTTTTCGAAAGTTTGACTAGTGAAACCAACCAAGTGACCTTGCGACTTAATCTTTCAAGATATCGTTCGGCATAACTTGAGGACCAGGCTTAGGCTGGCCTGGGGTTTCCGTTGCGAATCCCTCAAAAAATCACCTGTTTTGTTGTGCGTAATCCAGCTGCATCACGTCCATGAACAAATCAAGTAAACGGTCTCTTTGTCATGACGATACATTTGACACAGACAGGTGTGAACTACAAATAAACCTTTCAGGCCTGGTTTAAGGTGAAACAACCGAGCGAATGGGTCAGATTTTAATTATTGAAAAATTATGCATGCCGATACGAGATGCACAAACACATGCTCAAACCCTTGTTCCTTCAGGAGAAGTGAAGGGCTTACGGCTTTGAGGCGCTCAGTTAGGTCGCGGATATTCTCTTCATAGGCTTCTTCTCGTTGAGCAGCCTACATTTATGAGCCAAAGAGCAGTTAGTCAAATACATGTCAAACATTTAACTGATGCGAACCATAAGAGGCAAAACATGTGTCTTTAGAGATGTGAATATGGTTTTCCAAGAAATTAGGACAAAATAAACTGATAGCAGCATCAATTATAATGACCAAAAAAATCCATGAACAAATGAGCAATCAGAGGAATTAAAAGGGATCACATTAACATAGTTGGAAGGCTAAGGAGGCACAAAAAGTGTTCGAAACGGACGACTGTGTTAGTCAAGTTCCAAAACGATGATTTCCATAATTTGGGAAATTTTTTAAGGAACCACTTGATAAATAGGGTTTTATTCGCCTACACATTAACACAAAATCGTGTTACCCATCGAAATCTTCATATAGCGATGAGACTAAATAAACTCGTTGAGATTGTCTGAATAGATCGATTTATAGACGTGAAGACCTCAAGATGTTACAAGAAGATAAACCTGAACGAACTTTGTTGTGAGCAACAGAACGGATTAACATTCGTAAACGGCGTGCAACAGACACACTGTGCTGACACGTGAACTCAAACTATTGCACGATCTATCACGCGTAGCAAAAGGAATCACGGAGATATGAACAATACGAGTGCCGAGCGCGGCAGCTTGAATCTTTAAACGCGTTCTTTTTCCAGTCTTCTTCTCTCTCCAGTCTAAACCACATGGATGTGGCTGATAAGAGGATGCCCCGATGCACAGTCAGGGGTAGTAATTCCAGACAGTTGGTGGATGACATCATCCGTAACGTCAACCGATCGAGTAAACGGGTTGGCGTTAACACTAGTGGTCATAAGAGAGCTGAATTGTGAGCGACTGAGTAAATCTCTTATGAACGAGACCAATAACATAAAGAAATATATCACGGTAGAAAAAGTCAACGATCAAGTCCCTTATCATGTGAACCTGGGAAAATCAGGTTACTGAGTACGCAACTAGTGCATAGAAAGCACAAAATACCACATTATCAATTACAAAACTTGAGCATTAGTTGATGTCTCGCAGATACTTGGAGCTTAAACGAAGTGCTCAATGGGAAAATGATCACAAAAAAATGAGGTGCAAATGGATAATTCAATAAGCTGTACAGCCACAAATGAAATAAAACAGTTAATCTATCCACCATCCAATTCAGAAGAAACACCTTCACGCCTCATTTAATCTTTGAAGAAAAAGACCAGGCAACTTTTTCTAACAGTTGAATTGTTGTGTAAAAACGCATACCTCCTGTTCGGAAATTTCCAAGGACTTGACGTTATTGCCCACAATGCGCAGTTCCTCCTCTAGTTCGGTGATTTTGCTAATCAACAAAGTAAGATGAGTACGGATTGCGGTCAACAGGATGTGAACTGGAGCCTGAGAGCAAGAGTAAACTAGGGCTATCCACAGAAACAATTTATGACTTGAGTGGTCAGGCTACGAGCATGCTCCATGTCGCGTATACAGTAACGTTAAAACAGAACAAGGTGATTCTATGACCTGAATAAACATTGTGCAGTCCCATGCTGGATGTTTCTATGATATTTCGGCAAATAAGGCAAGCAGAGCATGCAATTCGAACTAGGTAAGCATTGGAGGTCCGGTGGTTTTTCATTCTCAAGTTTGGTCTGCAGAAAAGTAGGTTAATACGAAGACTGGATGATATTCCCATGAAAGACACCGCAATAAATGATAGGTGGAAAATGGGGACACCAACCTGGAATTCTTGATGCTCCAGAGACTTTAAACGCCCTGTCGCATCGTGGATGATGGACTGGAGTTCACGCATTCGACTGTCCATGCGAATGATGCCGGTTTGAACAAACAGGCAGGCATGCCAGCGGCAGTTGAACATGATGCAGTAAGAGACACGACAGGGGACGGTATCGGATGTTGACCGGACAGACAGTCCACGCAAAAGGCGTTTCGGTCCAATGTTAGAATAGTATACGAGCATGCGAACAGGATCGAACAATGGTGCGATCAGGTGTGGGTCAGTGGTAAAGGCGGAGAAGTCCGCGTGACACAAAAAATGAAACAGAAGACAGACAGATGAAGCCCATTGACAGAACATATCAGGCCGGTGCTAACGCGAGGGTAGGCAGATAAGCGCAACATCAAATCAGCGTGATAACCACATTGATGAGCATGTGTGAATGTTGCGGTGCAAGCACCAAATTTAAAACGGGGTTAGGTTACAATTTTCTATTATCGTCGTGAGACTCAGCCAATATTCATCAAGCCTAATTGGAAACGAAATTACGTAGATATTGCGATCACAGAATCAGGTATCCAGGATACCGGGTAGTACAGCAGCCCACAACACTGATAGTGTGGAAACGGAAATAAACTTTATATCATGCACTTATCGCTCGTCACTTGTGAAGTGCTAGAATATTACTCGCTCCAGATCGCTGATTAAACTTTGGATGTAGACATAGTTCAGGTCCAGACTAGATGGTAATTATTGATCCATTTTATCACCATCAACCTCAACGGTTGTTGTTTCGTCCTTGGGATAAGTGATAACATAATCATACCTAATTGTGTTGGGTTTGCTTTGGTTTACACGAAGTGTGAAGCATACTCAACTGATATCGAGCCGAGAATTAATAAGCTTATGGCCTGCTCAAAAACGTGCTCAGAGGAGAAGCCTTGCAGTCAAGTATTTATTTGAGTTGATCATAAACTGTGAGGTCTAGCAACAGCATCACAGGTAACTGAACGGATGATGCCATTCTATAGTAACACTCATCCACACCGAGCGTGAATCGCGCATGATTATCAGGAATTACATATCTAAAGATGGGTCTTGGTACCATCCTGAAGGTTATAGAACTAATCCATAATAAATACATTATTCATTAGATCGGTTCATTGTGTTCCCGAGTCGCGTGTATAAGCTAGTAATCTGAGTACTCCTTAGTAACCATTCACTTAAATTCTAATGATCACGTACTGCAATAAATAAGCCTCGGAGAAGATCAGTTTAACCCGACCGGGAAGGATAGAAGCAGCAAGGCAGGTGGGGTCAAACGGGCAGCGTAAAGCGCAGGTGTAAACCAATAAGGAACACGCAAGACCTTCCGCCGGAGTCGTCACGATGCCGCACACACACACACACACACCAGTGAGGACCGAGTTGAAAGCAGTAACAGGGAAGCCAAAATCATTCCGACTACAATGCACATTAGCACTACCATTACGACTATTAATCTACCTCTGCCACTAAAATTAGTGGTCGAATGCACGAACGGATGTGGACAAACGAAAGTGGAAAGGCGAAAGGTACGAACAAGCAAGGAGAGAAGGATGTGGATCAAATGAAGATCACCCATGGAAACACATGGGAGCAACTACGGGGATTCGGTCCGGCAGATTTCGGACAAACGAAGATGACTAGGAAGCCAGTGACGGGTACGAGAGGAGAGATGAGGGATACCT